GGCGGGGCGCGCACCCAGGCTCCCGAGGGTACGGGCTCCAGCACCAGGCCCGCCACCGTGGCTATGAAGAAGCCAAACAGGGACCACGCCTTGCAGGGGGAAACAGGGGCGGAGTGGGGGTGGACGCACGTTATCGCAAGAGGTGACAGCGCAGGGTGTTGATCGACGACAGCAGTGAGCACGGCATCCCCCTGCCGCACCGCCGTTACGGCCAGGGTAGGCAGAGGAGCTTGACAGGCCTCCAAGGATCGTGGGTGTTGCGGCGGCCCCGAAACGGCCCCCGACCCCCGCATTCTGCAGAGCCGGGTCGGCCGCGCCTGCCCAGTCAGCAAAGCCGGCTGCACCAACCTGTGGATCGAGGCCATCTGGTGTTGAGATCAGGAAGCGCACCGCCAGGCCCAAAGACTCCGCCGCCGCTGCCCTGCCGACTTTGAAGCCCTGCGGGGGGAATTCGGCGACTGGCGGCGCTTAATGTGCGGCCAGAGTGGGCTTGCCGCCTGCTCGCTGTTGTCATCACGATTGTAAAAGCGCCTGCACTTGGTTTGGTGCCCAAAATCAACCTTGGTCTAGCAGCGCGTGCCACTGGCCTCGCATCGACCGCCGCACCGCACCGCTCAGCCGCGCGCGGTCGACCCCCTTCTGGCGCCTGAATCCCAGACCCCTATCCCCTGAACCCTGACCCTCGAACCCTTCCCCCTTCAGGCGCCCCGCTCGCCGCTCGCCTTCCAAGCCCACGGCTGGTGGGGGACGGGCGCTGCCACGGCGTCGGCCGCCGCGCCGTCGGGCGCAAGGACGACCAGCGGCGGGTGGTGCGGGAGGGGCTGCTCCTCGACCGCGGCGATCGCCGCGTCCCACGCGCTGGAAAGCGGCGCAGCCGCCTGCTGCTGCTGCTTCTGCTGGTGGTGGTGGTGGTGGCGGTGGTGGTGGCCGCTGCCGAGGTGCCGCCCGTTTCCGTGTGTGTGTGTGCGTGTGCGTGTGCGTCTGCGTGTGCGTGTGCGTGTGCGTGTGTGTAAACGACTGGCAATGTCTTCTGGGCACGCTGCACATGCAAGCGTAGTGCTTCAGTCCTGGCCGCGACCCAAACCACAACAACAACAGCAGTACATTTCTCGTATGTATCACGCATTCATCGTGCACTGATGAGATGCACGACACGTGCGCGTGCACAAACAAACTTTGCGATGGGGAACAGCGTTTTAAACATGTTCGTTCAGGAACGATTATAAAGATTACATCGCACCACAATACATGTTGCCAGCAGCGACTGGAAAAAGACACCCTGCAAACGTGTCACGCGCAACCAGCTCAGGCACGCACGCAGCCAGCTCCGGGTGACCCGCCACCCGCCTTTAACTCCGCCTGCCGCTTGTATTTCGCTGCTTTCCAGGCCCCGCTCACAACTGCAGGGTAGGCGGTTGTTCGGCCTAGGTACGGGTGCGTCCAGCTTTCTTGCAGGACACTGAGCGACGGCGGCTGTCCCTTCAGCTATCTCGGGATGGCTGTTCCCGGGGATGCGTGCATGGCTGTGGCTGTGTGGCTATCTGACCCAACTGCCCCTTGTCCCTTCCCCAAGGCACTCAGCAGAAGGGTGATCAGACTCTGGCTTGCACGAGACTGGGATCCCTAGCAGAAGGCAATGTGGGGGAAACGAGAAGCAGTTTCCCATGTAGTTACGAGGCGTGAAAAGCAGCGAGATCCAAGCGGCAGGCGGCAAGCCGGTGGCGGGTCACCCGGAGCTGCCTGCGCGCCGGAGCTGGTTGCGCGTGACAGTTTCGTGTGTAACGGGCGCTGGTGTGCAGTGGGAACGCGTGTCTCTTAAGGGTGTGGCCTCGTCTGTTCTGTATCAGGGGGGATCAATGTGTAAACAGTGTGGTGCGTGCAACAAGCCCAGGCAAGTGTTGTATGTGGCAGGTGTGTGGAATCATCACACCAGCAGGCTAGTCAGGAGCATGGTGCATGGGTAGTGTGTGCTTTCGTCCATAACGGACTCTGGTACGCACAGAGCGCCAGGTGCACGGCAAGCGGACAGATATGGCGTGCAGCATACAGCTCGCAGATATTTGCTGTGCCGGCAGCTGTCTGCTTGTAAGGCATTGCCACATAACCTGGGAATCCTGGTACGTTCCGCACGCATGGCGTCGCTGAAAAGGACGAAAGGGTCTGGGCAGGCCCACCAATGGATTAGGATTGTTACAAGATCCCTCGGTCGCCCTCTCTTGGAGCTCATGGGATATAGCGTTGTAGCATCAGCGCTGTGTGACTGGGACTTAACAGGCCAGCGTTTGCCGTTCAAAGCAGGTGTGCACAAAGGCCCTACATGTTCGCAAGTCTGCGCTACACACAGGCGTGCAGGTGGGCATGTGCAGGCAGGTTCACAAACAAGGGTGCAAAACTCGGCGTGGCATCTCTGAGCTTGGCGGCTGTCCGCCCTCGCCGCCAACGCGCATGCCTACCAATGGTGACAGAATGCGCGTGCGCAGCCGGACATGTGTGGGAGCCGGTGTGTTTGTGCACCAGAACTGATGAGTCGATTGCGCACTGGTAGCGCTGGCCGGGGCCCGTGTTCGAGCACACGTAGCAGGCCGCGGCTGCAGCTGCGCAGCTGATCAGCAGCTGTCACATGTCTCATGAGACATCAGAAGGCAATACACACCACCAGCCGGTTGCTACTGCAACTGGTAGATCCAAAGTTGATCCAAAAGGTGTCGGTCGCGCGTGGAGATCCGTCCTGACCACGAGTGGTGGTTGACGTGAATCCCGAGCACGTGTTAGCAGTAGCACTGCCCGAGCCATCAGAACCCGACCACCAAGCCGTACTGCCTGTGAACACACCCGCCTCAATCAAAGTCCTCTGGATGGTGCCCCCTAGCAGGGTCGTGAAGTTGCTGGCCAAAACAACACCACTCGGAGACTCAATTGGCAGGCTGCTGGGAACCCCGTAAAGGGCAGGGAAACCAGAAATCTGGTCGGATGCAGATATCGAAAGGAACGCATGCGTCACAACAAGACCAGCCGGCCTGAACGGCGAGGCGCTGCACAGGGCGTCAGTGCCAGACCGGCCACCAAGGCTTCCGGTCCTTCCTGTATCAGACTCACGGTAGAGCACCACCCGCGAGCGCAGCAATTGCGCCGCAGGGACGCCGCCCAGTGTGACTGCATTGAGGTTGGCCAGGTCCGTGGATTTCGCAAAAACGCTGAAGTCGATGGCAGACACGTTGGCTACGATGGTTGTGAGGTTGGTGAGGCTGCTGTTGACCGCCGCGACAGCCGCCGCGCCCGTGGTGACGACAGACTTGATGGACTCGACGGTGGCGTTGGCCAGGGAGATTGCTGCCTCGTTTGCCTGCTGCGCCGATCTGAGGGCTGCCAGGGTGGTGTTGAGCGCCCTGATGTCCTGGACGGCGGTCTGGTTTGCCGCCTGCAGCAAGGTCAGCTGCTGGGTGGTGAGTGCGTCGGCTGCTGCAAGGGCGGCGATCTGCTGGGCAACGCCGGCTGGGACGGTGGTGTTGGTCGTGATTGCCTTCAGGTCTTGCACTTGGGCGGTGAGCGCCGCGACCTCTCGCGCAGCAGTCTGGTTTGCTGCAGTAAGAGCCGCGATCTGTCGGGCAGCATTGGACGCGTTGGCCTGCAGGCCCTGTGTGTTGGCGGTGAGCACCACGATTGCCGCCCGGAGTGCATCTATCTCGGCACGCAGCGCTGCAGTCTGGTTGCTTTCTTTCACAAGAGCGGCCACAGAGCTGGCCTGGGCGGCGGCGGCGTTGACCTTGGGCTCGAGGGCTGCCAGGTCACTGGACACTTTGTTGACCTGGGCGGCGGTGGCCACGCCGCAGCCGTAGCGCAACTTGGTGGGGTCCTGGGAGAGTGGTGGGGTGCAACCCACACAAGAGGGCGTGGTGGTGGGCGAGCTGAGATGGCGGTAAAAAGACACAGCCTTCTAGAGCTACAGCTGTATGTTGTCAACATACCATTTGGTATGTGAGTGTATGTTGCTGTGGCTGGATGTCACGGAAGTGTCAATCGTTGCTAGCTGCTGCTAATGGATTCACAACTGCAACACGTTTTTCGTTGCTGCCACCTGCGTCACGTTCACCTATACAAGCCACTAAGCAATGCACGGGCACCTGCTCGTATGCGCCTAGGTCCATGCTGAATGCTAGAACCTACCTTGCTGTCGGCCGTTGCGTTGGCGGGTGCCAGCAGCTCGGCGCACAGCTGGTCTACAAGGGCTGGGCCGGCCTTGGAGCACTTCTTCAAAGCGTTGACGGGCGTGCACTGCGCAAAGGGACGTGCGTGAGGCGGCGCAGGATCGCTTGGTGTGCGCAGGGTTGTGGGTTCGTGCATGCCAGGCATATCGAGGGCAGGCAGGCAGGCAAGTGAGTTGAGAAACACTGATGTTGTGCTTCCACACCGACGGGCGGGGGCGTGATCGAGCGCATCACTGTGCACGAGACAGGCGAGCCTCCAAAGGGGGGGTAGGGCCGCCGGGCAGCTCTTACCAATGCCAGCTTCTGCTTTTTGGGGGTTGCTTGAGGGCTGCACAGGTAGGCGCGGGCAAAGTGTGGGTTAAAGGTGGGGGTCAGTACGGATGTGGATCATCGCTGATGCATGCAGCGCGTAGAGCGCCAGCACACACCACCTGAAGGACCTCTAGCTGTGCCACCAACAAGGGGTCGTTTGCGGGCCGCGCATGCATTTGTCGGGAAGACAGCTCGAATGGAGGTATGCAGGCTTGTGCGAAGTAGGTGGGCCAGGCACACCAGCCAGCTGCACCGCCAGAAATTAGTCAAGCGTGGTCGGGCGTCACCAAACGTGACAATGATCTCAAGGGGAACGCCTCCATGTCCCGGGTCCGGAAGCCGCTGGTGTACAGTAGTGTGATCTGCTTGTCTACCA